CATGTCGATAAATAGTCACGGGGTCACTGGCTCAGATCATTTTTGAAGATGAAGCTGCCTTCTGTGACTTGGGAAGGCTCCAGGTTTGGGGTACATCGGCCTTTCTTCCCTTCCCTTCTCCTCCTGCATCCCCCAAAGGTCAATTCCCACATCAAAACAGTTGGGATTGCGTGTAGATTTAAATAACGTTCCCCTCGTGCCTTCTAGAAAGCAAAAGAGTTTACAGGCATTTGGTGACAGTTCTACGTGTTTAAATAGAACAGGCAGAAAGGCATCACCCCTTTCTAGGCTTCAAGACGAACCGTGTCAGGTAGGGGGTGTGTCAGTGTGCTCACGTGTGTGTGAATACACGTGCCTTCATGGAGCATGACAAGTGGCAATTGTGGTCGAGAGCGTGTGCCATCAAGGGAATGCCTGGCTTTAATGACGAGGCAGTGTTTTGACGGATAGCTTGGTTTCTTGAGGGAGCCAGCGAGAAAGTTACCTGAAACAACGTGTGTCTAGAGAAATGGAGGAAAAAAAAAACCCCAGCAATTGGGGCTCCTGGGTGGCTCAGTCGGTTAGGTGTCTGCCTTCTGCTGGGGTCACGGTCCCGGGGTCCTGGGATCGAGCCCTGTGTCAGGCTCCCTGCTCAGCAGAGAGTCTGCTTCTCCCTCTCCCTCCCCCTCTCCCTCCCCCTCTCCCTCCCCCGCGTCCTCCCCCTCTCCCTCCCCCTCTCCCCCCGCACGTGCTCTTGCTCTCTCTCAAATGAATAAATAAAAAAATCTTTTAAAAAACCCCAGTAATTATTTGAGAGGGCTAAAGAAGCCATTTCTTTTTATGGGATGCTGTCTGGAAGAACAGCCCATGCCTGGTATCTCAGACATGGCCAACATTCTCCTCTTTGTGAAGGGTAGAACAGAACACAAAGAGGCCAAGTCTACATGATACAACCGGAGCGGAACTCAGATAAAAAACCGGCATCGGTGTTGACCGTCAGGTTTAGCTCACTTGGGCCTTTTAAAACCTCAGTTACGCAAAGCAGCCAAGTATCCCCCTCACATGGTGCTGCTTAGACCCATGTAGAATTTTGTGAAGGCTGTAATGATGGAGTCATCTGGAGGTGACGAGGGGCTTAGTCTCATGGTGCATCCCCACTCTCTGACCCCCACACAGGGGAAGCACAGAAGGACCCAGAGGTAACCTCCTGTGGCAGGAAATGGGAGCTTCATCCTGCTCCCCTGCCAACCTCCTGTTCCCCGTTTCCTCCCAGCAGATATCTCCATTCCAATCTCCCCTGCCACTCTGGCTCTCTCTTTGTCATGGTTCAGCTTTCTGAGAAAGCTACACTAACGAGGCCTGGACAGAGGGAGCCAGGCTCAGTGATTCACTGGACAGCACCAGAGAAGAACAAAACAAACGGGTGTTTCAAAACCAACCCACAACAACACAACACCAGAAAGACGCGTTGAATTTTCCATAAGCAGACTGTACACACACACACACACACACACACACGTGTTCTCTTGGTCTACTTCGCCAGAATACAGGCAAGATAATTACTTGGCTAAATCAATGAAATCATTCGAGCCTACAGTGACCCCGAATTTCTAGTTCTAAATGATTCGCCATTGCCAGGCATGATAAGGAAGGGTGAAGAAATGGAATGCATACTTGCAGCAGTTCTCCGTTTCCCTTTGCATATGTTCATTATCGAGAATCAATTCCAGTTTGAGAGGAGGCTTTCATTCCTTGCAAATGAAGAGGAAGTGAGTAAGTAAATGTTCGGGGTTTTCCTCAAATTATGTCTCATAACGTAAGAAAACAGTGGCAAAAAGCCATCAGCAGATGGTGTTTTCATTAGCCAGAGATTTATTTTTCCAAGCATTTTCATATTAATGAAGTAAGGTTGAAATTAGAGTCATCTTGTCAGTTTTAGTTCTGTGGTGTTAAAATGTGCTGGCTTTCTGCAAATTGCTAGGGGGCGGAAGCAAAAGAAGCATTTGCCATAATTTTTGATGGTAACCCAAGGTCCATAGTCAAACCAGACCCCAAATTATGTGTTCAGCCCTAATTTTTGTTTTCAGTGGCTTTACAGAAGCTGCGAGTCTCAGTGCTGGGCCATAAATGAGGAACACACAGCAGGGGCACTTAGTCCTGCTTGACACTATGAATTATTTATAGGCTATTAGTTTCGCGACAAGTGTTGCAACAGGTTGCATGGACTTGTTAGAAAATATTTTCCCCATGGAATCCTGTGTTTGAATGGAAACACATTACAGTCTGAAACACAGATTTCTAATACTGTATCCGCTCTGAGTTCATCAATCTACATTATATCTACCTCCTCAGTCCATATAGTCAATGGTGAGACATGGGATTTCCATGGGTCTAGGAATCTGGACCCCTGTGCTAGTAGAAGTCATAACTGATGGGACCCATTGCCTGTGCCCACTGTCTAACCTAAGCTGGACAATTTCATCGAACCATAGCTCTGTCTTAGTCACCCCCCAAGCCAAATTTTTGAAGAGGAGTCCAGACGTGCCGCCTCCACATTGTCACTACTGAGGGACTCCCTAACTCTGTACCTTTTAGCATTTGCTTCCAAACCCCAGTGAAACGCCTTTTTCAGAGGTCACCAGTGACTTCTAATTACCAAATCCGACTGCTTTTTCTTAGTCCTCCTATTTCTTGCCCTCTCTGCATAGCGGACAGTGACAAGTCCTTTCTCGAAACGTGTTTCTCTCGATTATCCTCTCAGCTTGGCCCAGACCTGCAGTACCAATGGCCTTGAACATCACAGCTTCCTCTTAACCAGTGTCCCTGCCCCTAGGCTCTCCTGTTTCAGTCTGCCCCACATTATTGCTGGTAGGTTGAACTCATAAATGCTGCCCAGATTATGTCATTGTCTTGCTCCAAAGCCTTTGGCAAGTCCCCACTGCTAAAAAATAAAAATAGGTACAAAATCCCCACTTAGGCGTTCGAGACCTTCAAAACAGGACCTCCAGCTGCATTTCCAACCTTGCCCCCCACTACTCTCTTGTACCCTCTGTTCTAGCCAAATTCAACTTGTCTTTCCCGAACACGTCCTTATTATACTTTATTCCCTTTCACTCACATTATTCGTTGTGTATGGAACACCCTGTCCTCCTTCATTTCTGTTTGTTAAAATTTGCCTTGTCCTTCAAGATCCACTTTCGTTTCCCCTCCTCTTTCTCTTGGAATTCACTGCCCCCTCACCAGAGCAGGTGCTTATTACCTTTGGTTGTATCTGATCTCTGAACTTCTGCCATTTTTTTGTCTCGTGACATCTACTTAGCTTAGAGATCGTGTCCAAATCAACAGTTGCTGCCCTTCTTTCTCCCTTCTTTACTCTCTTTGCCCTTGCTAAGGAGAAGGCCACGGATGGAGACGGTTGGGGAGTTAAAGAGGGCCAGGGGAGACCCTGTGCCCAAGCCAAGAACAGTGGAATAAATGGGGGAAAATGACTTCCACGGGAATAAAGCCAAAGAAACCAAGGGAGATCTGGCAAGAAGGGGAGCAAAACTTAAGCTGGTTCTCATAATCCAGTTTGAGAACAAGTGACATCAGACTGCCCATCCTAGAAATACATATATCCATGGGAATACATCCTCTGGGATGGACTTATGGGCCAGTGCCAAGAATACTAAGGAGCCACAGCTACTTAGTAGACAAGAAAGGGGCCAAGTACATGAGTCCTCTCCCCATTCCTCCATTCCCTCCTATCAAAAACATGAACTTTGAACAGCTACAAACCGTAGGAGCCATGGAGACAGCAATGAAGTGATGTACACAACCAAGGGAAGGAATGTTAGCAGAATAAGGGCCAGAAGTTGGGGTATTACATTGGAACAGACTTGGTGGGGGTGTGGGGGTGGTGAGTGAGAGAGGAGTGGATTTTGGGACTGGTCCTAGAGGAAAAAGCCACCAGAGCCGAGGACTTGGGAATGGGGAGGAATATAAAAGCCCATTATCAACCTAGAGTGAGTAACATTCTGTTTTTTTCACATAAGGAATGGGAGGGAGTAGCTTGCGCAACTGAAAATACACTTAAGAGTTCTGAGTACTGTTGTACTCCTGTTATTTTAAACAGATTTGCAAAGTGCTTCTCATGTGTACCAGAAAGGATCTATGTACCAGTAAGCAATGATAAGCAATGGATGTCCTACCTTGATATACCAGGTGTCACGTTTTGAAGTCTGTCGTCTCCATGGGCTATTCCTTAGGACCAAAGAAGGGAAGCTGTGAGATACAATGCTCTATTTTGACGAACCTCACAGTTAAAATACTATCTTTCTTTCCCCTGAAGGAACCTACTGATAAATCTAAAATATTTCCAAGGGGGGAAATAAAAAACAAGAAAAAAAAATCGTGACTACTGGGGCAAAGCTGTGACTGAGGCTAGAGAACTGGGTTCTAGGCCCAGCTTTGTCATCTACTAATTGTAGGACTGCAAAGAACACTTTACCCCCATTCTGAAGCTCAGTTCTCATCTGTAAAATGCTGACATATCCTACCTCATGGATTGTTGTGTTTAGTAAATGTTGTATATGAAATTGCCTAGCAGAGTGTCTGGCAAGTACTATTTGTTCAATAAATTATGGTTCCCTTAGTCTACTCATCTGTAAAAGAGAGGATAATACCTCTTCTCCTTATGTCATTGGATTACTATGAAGGCAAAATGAAATACTATGAAATACTTTAAAAAGTTAAAAATATTGTAGAAAACATAAAGTCGCCTTAACATTAAATTCCTATATCCACGAAGTCATGAATGTCATCTTTTCCCCAGTAATGAGAGCCTGGACCAAATGCACAGTGTTATTCATTAGCACCTAGAACAGTGCTTGGCCCACAGCAAGTGCTCAATGAATCTTTGAAATGTTTGCCAACTGACTGAATGATCTCCACATGATATTGGTTCTTAAGCTCATTGAACCTTTCTTATTTTTTCCCCTCTTCCCTGTTTCCCTCTGGCTTCATACTCTCGGGGATGGCAGCAAACTCTGGAGATGAACCTCACCAACCTGGTTAAGCGCAACAGTGAACTAGAAAATCAAATGGCCAAACTAATACAGATCTGCCAGCAAGTTGAGGTACGTAACAGAAACTTTTGCAGTTCTTTCAGAGGACCCGGATCAGGCGATCCTTGGGGGGACACTTGAGTCTTGTCAAGAGTGTAGCTCAGCCATTTGGAGTGAAGGGCTGAATGATAGTTCTAGGAAGTCTCATTCCCTTAAGATGCCTGTTCCAAGAAGAGTGGCAGATGGCTATTGTTTGAACAGAAATAGGTGGGTGGTGGCCATGAACTGGGGAGACAGCAGTCCAGGGGGTAATCCGTTTTTTCCAAGCGGCAGGCAATATGAGAATCCAACATGCAGTGTGTTTCTTCTTTCATCAAACTGGACATCTTAGCTCCCTAAAGAGATCCCTGGGGGTGTCACAGGGGCAGCTGGGAATCCTGGGTCCTTGGAGTCAGACGAGGTTCGTTCCGGGCCGTATTGTGTCTGTGAGAGTACTCATCAGGATTGCTTCTCCTGTTCCTAGTCTCTCCTCCCTTTGTCCCCACGCACGTCCCTTGATCCTCACTCATCACCGCCCCACTTGCTCTTGTCATCCACAAATGCTCTCTGTGTTCAAGTTGTCTGAATTGTAAAGTGTCATACAAGTCTAAAGTTTTTGAAACCTCTTACCTACGTCAAGGTGACATCAAAGAGCAGAGCTTACAAGAGGAGTCAGTCTTTTCATAAGTGGATGTAATAGAAGAAAGCTGTTACTTCTCTTTCTTTCTCAAGAGCACGGGACTTCAGCTGTAGCGTCTGGTTTTTGTGTTGGTTTTGTTGAAGAGGCAACGGTAGGTCTTCAAGTCTAAAGCGGGTCGGGTAAAATGTTATAGCACTCTTCCTGGGCAGTGATTGGACAGAAATGTTTCTAATTCTATTTATAATCTCATGGTCTAGTTTTAACCTTACTTGCGTGACAGATAAATGTAGTGGTTCAAGGTAAATCCCACCTAGGGATTTCTACTTAAGGGAGTGTGAGAATCTTCTAGTAAGAAAAAGAATCCTCTTATACGAGTAAGCACTCCTAATTGTTTGGATGTCTTCAAGTCTTGCATTTCTTAAAGTAGGGTGTCCTTGGATGATGAGCATACCATAGCAATTTAATCCCTGCTGGGCACTTCGTTTGTGGAGGAGAGTGGTGCTTTATGGAGGGTGCAGAGAACACCAGTTAAACTCAGGGGAGAGATTGTGGAAATGTAGCAGGACATTTAGGGAGAAGCCCAAGGAAATGGAAAGAAAGAACCCTGGAAGGTAAGTTACAAAATGGGGTTCTAGCCTTGACGCTGCCATTAACCGGTGATATGAATTTGAGTAAGTCACTTAGCCTCTCCGCTTCAGGGTCCTTACCTGTAAAATAAGGGGTTGAACTGACTCCCTGACCTTCGATGTGTCTTCCAGATTTCACGGGTCATGATTCTGCGAACGGTTACTTTCTTTATTCTCTTCTTTGGTCTTTGATTTCGTCCTTTACTACGCGCGGGGAGAAACAAAGCAGAAGGCGTTTTAGAGTGCTTTTCAGCTAGTCGAACTCTGTTCCACTCTATCAAAGCTTCTGATTATGCTGTTAGATTATAGTATGAGAAACCCACACTAGTGGAGAGACAAGGAAGTATTGTAAGCAGGAGACAAGATAAGGGATCCCTTGGCTTAGAATTCTCATGGTTGAGGGCGGGGTAACAGCTATAGTGAATAAAACGTGGTTAGAAATTATAATTATCACCTTCCTCATTCTCATCAAAAAGACTATTAAGTATAGTGTAAGTTGTAGTCAAATTAGCAAAGTAAGCAGTTTGTTTTCATTGCTTATTTGCCCTGAGACCTCTCTAACATCTCATCATGCCACCCCTGGGCAGTTTATCACTCTGACCAGCCTCACCCAAACAGAACCCGGTTCCAGCCCTTCCCAGCCCACCGCACCAATCAGACCTTTGTATTCAGGGCCCCACTCTTTTCAAGCAGCGAGGAGCTAGTCTCATAAAACAATGCATCATTGTGTTCATAGAGGAGGACTCATTCTGGCCCTCTAGGTAACAGGCAATGTTTTAACAGTGCCTTTCTGAGGTCAGTATTTGGGCTTGAGCCTTGCAGGAGATGACACCAGTGCTGCCAAATATAAGCCAAGTGGGAGGGAAGAGCAGCCCCATGATGAACCAGCAAAGTGGGGGGGGGAGGTTTAAGAGGCTCCCTTAGAGATGCTCGTTAAATCCGTTGCATAGGCCGCTGTCTGCTCGGGCACACAAAAGGTCACCTTTTGCTAATACTTACTTAGGCACGGCTTTGTACCAGGTACAAAGAAAACAGCATGGGTGGGCACAGTGTCTGCCTTTGGAAGGCTTACACACGGCGCAAACCCACCCCGATACGGATATACACGTGCGGGCCATAGAGACAATGGAATAAAAATGTTAACCGACGGTTGGCAAAGAACCATGAGATCCGGCATTACATGTCAAGGGTGAGAGTGTATTTGGGGAGTTATCTCCATAGGCCCTCCAGTTTAGGATTTTTTTTTTTTTAAAGATTTCATTTATTTATTTGACACACAGAGAGACACAGCGAGAGAGGGAACACAAGCAAGGGGAGTGGGAGAGGGAGAAGCAGGCTTCCCGCCGAGCAGGGAGCCCGATGCGGGGCTCGATCCCAGGACCCTGGGACCATGACCTGAGCCGAAGGCAGACGCTTAACGACTGAGCCACCCAGGCGCCCCCAGTTTAGGATTCTATCTTTGACAGGAACCCTGCAAGATGGCTTATGGAAGAGTGTGGCGGTGCTCTATGACATCATCCCTTCTGAAAGGTTGGGATGTGCCCTGAACTTCCCCATAATAATAGGGTGAGTCCAGGGTACTTATTATACTCATTCAGCGCAGAGCCTGTGTGTCCAGACGGCTTTGGAACAAGCCCCGGGATTAGAAATGCAGTTAAAGAAGGGACTTGAGACTTCATAAATGCTTATAAATACTTTATACAATGAAATAAATAGTAGGAGACTGGTTGTCATGAGAACCGGACACTAAAGGGTGATGTGAATTTGTTTTTTTTCTTATTCTATCGAATCCAGCTTTGTCTATAAGGAATGACTCTATTCGCAGTGTGAACCAGGCCTTTCACGTTGGGCGGGGGTGGAGGATACCAGCGAAGGCACTTCTGAGAAAACTGGAATAGGGCTATTTTCCTGCCAGACCTGTTCCCCTTCCTTATTGTCTGCAAATGTTTTTGTCGCAGATTGACTTTTCATAAAGCGGCCGTAAATACTGCCTCTCTCCTGGTTCTTTCTTCTTGTTCTCTGTTCTCCCCAGAAAGTAAACAAGGCCGCAGTCTTCCTATTATTACAGAAACAGAGATTAGGATCACCACAGATTTGTTAGCTGAATTCCTTAGTAAGTCAGCCTGTTCCAGTTGCTGCCCAGCTTCCAGAATTCAGGGGATAGGCAGTTGGAAACTGTTTTTTTTTGTTTTTTTTTTTTTTGTTTTTGGTTGGGGCCGGAGAGCATGGGAAGGAGGCAGGAACAGAAGGAAGAGTCCTTTAATCTGGTTAAGGGAGGGCCATGCTTTGACACACACCCGCCCCTGCCCCAGACTCTGGCCACTTGATCTCTATATATAGTTCTTTGTCCTTTCTCATCAGGCATCCTTTGTTTACATTTCCAAAGGAAATCTCTGTTTAATGCATAGCCAAGGGAAAATGTATACCAACAGATGAATATTTCCTCTTGGTTTCCAAGACCGCGCCGTTTTGTGAATAACAAGCATTCCTGAAGATATTGAGGGGAAGAAAAATAGTTAAGTACTTGGGGATCGGTCAGTTGACAACAAAGCGTTTCTTGAGCCAACACTGCGTACTCAGTGCAGTGGGCAATTTGGGAACTATAAAAGAAACATATGCTGTTGCTGGCCTCCTGGAACTTTTGAGTCTAGCTAGGGAAAATACAGTTTCTAGTAAGAAAGAGAAGCATTTAGGAAGCAGCACGCAGTGTAGGGAAGGTAGCCTTTCCGTTTTTACTTCTTTAGCGTCGTTGGTGAGTTTCAGGGAACTGAGCCCACGAGAGCACCTTCCTGGATATTTTGTGTGGCATCTGTTTACGGCAGTCCAATGGGTTAGTCCATCCCAGAAGTCCCATGGGCAGATTGATTTCTTTCTGGTCCTTCTCAAGCCTTTTAAGGAGCTGGGTGGCTTCCCTTAGCTCGGTCTTAGCCTCAGTTGCTTTCAAAAGTCTTACTGTAGGTGGCTCGGCGTTCTCCCCCCTTTCTGCCCGTATCATGCACTGACAGGGTATTTGGCTTGCGAAGGGCAAGCAGCGATGCCTAACTGCTTCTCCAAGCGGAAAAATAGGTGTTTGAACGGGAATTAATTTTTAAAAACCATGCTTCTGTGGATGATTTCAGCAGATGCTCCTTAAACGATTTAGAGTGGTGGAGCTAGGAGCAAGAATCGAATCGAAAGCATTAAAGCACAAATCTGTTGGTTGGAAGAGTCTTCTCCAAGCCCTGAGGACATGATGAAATGAAGGAGTGAGTAGAGTGAAAAGTCAGTGTAATCAGGGAAAATCTCATAGAGAAAATGCATTTTAGCCAAATGTTTAGGGAGGAAAAATAAATGACTCCCTCCGCCGAGACAGAGAGCAGAAAGGTATTAGAGGAGGTGGAAAAGAGCCTGTCATATGGGCAAAATGGTATGCTACGCCCTGGGTGGACACTGGGTAGACAGAGATAAATAGGAAATGGTCCCTGCCCTCAACTCAAGGGAGCTTACCTGACAGGTAAAATGTCAAATACAATGTGAAGTGGTAATTATTGTAATGAAGGTAAGTGCAAGATGACAGGCTGGCGTGGAGAAAGAAACACCTAAGTCTGCCCAAGGGACTTAGGAAAGATGGCAGAATGGAAATTAAAAAAAAATCGAGTTCTCTTGAAATAAGTGTTGAATTTTGCCAATGAGAATGAGGTAAGGTAGTGAAGGGGACCCCATGCAAGAACACGGAAGGGTAAAGAGCACAGAGATGTGCAGGGCACGTCTTGGTTCAGCCAGAATGT